AAAGAGAGAGAAAAGAGAGAAAGAGAGAGAGAAAAAGAGAGAGAGAGAGAGAGAGAGAGAGAGAGAGAGAGAGAGAAAGAGAGAGGGAGAGAGAGAGAGAGAGAGAGAGAAAGAAAGAAAGAAAGAGAGAGAGAGAAAGAGAGAGAGCGTTAAGCCGCGCCGGCGTAGGAAGGAAAGCAAGTCACGTACGTGAGTGCGGTTACACGGTGCATAAAGCGGAACCGTTATGAAGAATTCACGAAGACAACCCGTCGGTTATTTGAGCGCGGCCTTTCTTCAACGAGCACGTATCCCCGCTCGTAACCGCCGAGGCCTGATTTTTCTTTCTCACATTCATCATTCTTCACGAAATTTCGACTGTATGTGGCTCGATTCTGGTTTTATTTCCACGTATATATGTCGCCTTTCATTGGCAAGATTTTGCCGTGTCATCCTTTAGTAGCCTACTACTTTCAGCGCTACCTCTACCTACCTACTACTTTCACTAATATGCACTTGTATTTGCAGTGATCGCATTCTACGTTGTATTATTTCTGCGAACGTTTTACAGCATTAATGTCAATAAAAAAGCCATTAGAACTGAAACGGGACAACCACGCTATGTTTTGTCCTGAATCGCATTGCGCCAAAGTAAATAGTGTATTACAGAGGAGAAATGATTCCTTCATACAATTCACGTGTAGCCAAAAACGCCGAATCATACAACCTTAGTTATGCACACCGTTGATGCATGATGCACCTGCAGGTACAGCTATAATACCCCAGAAGAACACGCAAGCTATATAGTTGAAGGTAAAAACACAAGAATCTGAAAAGTAAAACAGATAATATTTCGTAGTTGAAGATTATTGCTCGGAACTATACTAACGTCACATTGAAATTAAAATGAGCTAAAAAAAAATCGATAATAAAATGTAAACAATGCTTCTTGAAATTAAACGCGACTGTCAGCGCTATAACAGGATGAATAATCATAACTGAATATTCCCATTACGCATGAATTAATTCTAGAATATTGCAGATCATTCGGTAGCTATAACGTTGTAACGGTAAAACGAGCCTGCATGATAACGCCTGCATGCTTGCGTTTTGAGATATAGGTGGAATGAGTGAACAGAGAGTTTAAGGAGATAAAACGCTAGTGCCGAATGTGTTTGAAAGGTTACTTCAAAGATAATTTCTTGACAGTCGTGTCTTTGTGGGTTAGCTAATTGTTAGGGCAGCTCAAAAGACTTGAAGTCAATCAAATGTAATCTGCATATATACAGTACCTGGTGAATTAGTAATGCATAAATAGATGGATGGATGGATGGATGGATGGATGGATGGATGGATGGATGGATGGATGTGTCATTTTACTCACGTGTGCGGCGGATTTTCGTTGAGTAATTTGACTCGTGCGTCATTTTACTTGAGTAAAATAACTCACGTGTGCGCCGGGCATAATGGCCTGCATATGTTGCTGCAGGTATCTGAACATTGCTACGAACCTCGAATCCGGACGTGCGTATGGAACTGGCACAAGAACGTGGCCCAGCGATACACGCAGACGCTCGCCTATCTCATCGTACCGATGACTGTGACAGCGGCCTGCTACACCCGGATCTACTTTTACGTGCGGGAACATCGCCTGAAGGTGACCTGCACCGTTTCCGTTTCCGGGTTAATTATCGCATTCGAATCCGCCGAGTTCGTAGTGTGACGTCTGACGTCATCGTTAGTTTAATGTGCGCGTATTTGTTGCCTAGAATGTTGCAGCTAAGACGATATTTGTGCGAAAGATTAAGTATCTGTTGTTTAATAAACCGATAATGTCACTAGCATCGTCAGAAAGGCAAGAATCAACGCAATGCACCAACGTAGTGGTATAATAACAACTATAGTTAGAATATTTTTTTCAATTAGTATTGCGCATTACCTGCCGCCGATGTTTCAGAACGTGGTTTGGTTATAGTCCAACCACACACTAATTACACCAAGATTCACCTTGGGTATTTTTAATTCGCTTTACAACTTTATTCGAATACATTGTCCACGATGGTTCTCTGTTATACAGCCATGCGTGTATAACTGTTTTATTACTAACTGTTTATGTACTAACTGTTTTAGTACTAACTGTTTATACACTAACTGTTTATGTACTAACTGTTTATGTACTAACTGTTTATGTACTAACTGTTTATGTACTAACTGTTTATGTACTAACTGTTTATGTACTAACTGTTTATATACTAAGTGTTCATGTTTATGTACTAACTGTTCATGTACTAACTGTTCATGTACTAACTGTTCATGTACTAACTGTTCATGTACTAACTG